AAACAAAAGAGGATGTTCCATTGAAACTTGGTACAGATGTTAGGGAAGAGTGTACCAATATAACAAAACAAAAAAATCGATAATCGAAAAATTTGAAATTCGCGAAATTTGAAGAGTCACCTTACTTTTTGAACACACCTCGTATTGAGATTTTCATAACATAAGTTGAATTTTCCATAATTAATATTTAATCTCCACTTTCTTCAACTGCTACTTTCATTTTAATGGCCTTTTGGCTTTAACAACTTGATCAAACGTGTAATTTGTATGCACAAACTGCTTTGCGCTTTCACTTTCATATTTCTGGTAATACAATCCATGGAAAGAATTGCCATAATTAAATTAACTTTTCGCTGAAAATTCATTCCAAAGTCATTATCAATAATCAAGCCATGGAGTCAGAAAAAAAGGGGGCGAGTTCCATTGCTGCTTCATGTGGCTTTTTCAGAATTTTCCTACAGCAACCTCTTCCAGTTCATCCCCTTCAGAAGTTAGCGCACTTAAAACGCGCTTATTCTTGATTGGCATAATTTATAAAGTTTTTTTTCCCTGTTGCCATGGAGGAAAGACCGCCGGATGCTCGTCCTCATGAGATAGATGGAGCGATGGAAAAAAGCACTTTGAAGGGGTCTCAGAGTGTGCTCACACACACATGTACAGGCTACAGTTTTTTTTTAATGATTGAAAATGTATAAAAATCAAATTTAAATGTATATGTAGATGGCAATGTATGTGTGAGTGTGTGTGCTCATTGGCACTTAACCCCGAAAAGTTCTGTACAGCCCAGGAACCACTCATAAAATTTCGATGAGCGGTAAACACGCAGAGTAATTAACGGCAAAGTGCATCCCCTCAGTTACGATCCGCTTTCACTGAGCCAATTTATTTATCACGGAAAAGAAAGCTCTGTAAAACATACAAGTAATATGGAAAATGCAATATTGACGCACTTTACCCTCACCATAGCTGGGGCCAGCCAGGCGGCACTGAGGCATCGTGGCAGCATCCACAACATACATCCTGGGGAAAAATTGTGATGAACGGAGGCGAAGTGGAGTGTAAGGTTGCACGTAAGCCAATAAGCGGAATCAGCGGCTGCGGCTCATAAATAAAAGAGTTAATCAACATATTGATAGAGACATGGCGAGACTTAAGCGAGACGAGCCGGAGAAATGGGGAATGTGGAGTGTTAACCCATTAAGGACTTGTGTTGGAGCTTAAAAATTCATTTCACGCCAATGTGTGTTCACATCAATAGCTCTTTGATTGGGTTAACAAACAAAAAGCAAACAGAAGTTTAACTTTGAAAATGAAAATACTTTCGTTGAGATATTCAATTTTGGAGACTTGAGTTCTCTTAGCCTGAGATGCTCCTAAGAATGTTATTCATATAGTTTTTTCCTCATAAATAACACCCAATCGACTCCAAATGTATATCCATAAAGTTAATCCCTACTTTTTAGCTGACCTAAACCAATTTAAAGTCACTTTCTACCAACCTAAGCCCTCTGCATGGAAAATGTGTCCCCTTTTTTGCAAAGTTTTTCACCCCTAATCAATGGAAAAAGTTTTTCGAAATATGCTGCGAACACTTTTGGGAACTTAAACACCATTCAGTTAATGGGTTAAGCAGCGCTTTTCACACAGCTTAAATGCCGCCAAGGATGCATGGAAATTTATGCAAAGTTTCGGTTGGGGCCGAAGGGGGTATAGGGGGTAGAAGGCAAAAATTACAATGGCCGATGCTGCTAATGATTGTTGTAATCGGTTTTTGCATGTGGTCCGACCGCGTTCCACCATTCGATGTCATGTTGTTTAGGAAGCGACAGCAGCTGCCGTTCGTCCTGCCGGCTGCTGCTCCCGATGCCGCTACTCGGATATCCGTCTCATCATTTGCATGGCCATCGATTACCACCGAACCGCATGCGGGAGGAGAGGAAGAGGCACCACATGCCAATGGGAAAAACACGGGCAACTGGCGTGCCAAATATGCGAATTATTTCCAGAGCTGCAGGAAACAGGACGACGTCAATGGCCAGTCCTGCGGGGATACACGATCGGGGTAGATAGTGGATGTCTATATATATATATATATAGTAGTTGGGTGGTTAAATGTGTTGCTGTCGCGGCGGCCATGAATGAATGAAAAGTGCTTAATTGCTTGTGACGGCGTTAAATAAATTCTTAATTGCTTCGCACTTTGCGCGTTTGCAACGTTAATAGGATTTCCGTCGCCTGCATGTCGCCAGGATATGCACATCGTCGCTCCAACGATGCTCCTGCTCCTCCTGGCCGAAAAACTTCTTTCCTTTTGCGTTTTATTGCCGTTAATTTCCGTGGAATTTCGGTCGTCTTTTTTTTCGCTATACCTTTTTGCCACAGCCCTGGCGAATTCGCGTTTTGGCCAGCCGACGTACAAATCCTTTTAGCCAAGTGTCATCTAGGCCAGGACAGCCGGCGGCACATCATTTGCAAGGCAAAGCGCTAAATTTCATTTTGCATACGCGTGTGTCACGCGTGTCCTACCACGCGTCCTGGTTACAACGTTATCACACTGTCAGAAATATAATTAAGACTCTTAAATGACTCAATTTAAATTTTAATGTAACCTTTTTTTAGTCATCATCTTCTTTGACGATTAAGTTAACTAGTTCATAGAAGTTAAGCTTCCTTTTTGAGTTCTCATTTCTCTCAGTGCAGCTGCATATATATGCAAGTCCCTGTGTCAGTGGCTGTTGACGTAAAAAAAATTAAAAATGCATTTGTGACATGCTCGCAAAAAGAAATGCAGCACACGTTGCAAAAACTAATGACTTAATAGCTCGCCCGCTTGTGGCAAGGACAGCGCGGCACTGAAGCCAAATGTGGGTGAAGTGCACTTGGTAAATGCAAATCGTAAATTTGGACTCACTCACTGGCCGATTATGGCCAATTCAGTTGATGATTTGGCGCCGTCGATAAGTTAGAGGCTTAAATAACGATTACGCAACGCTTTGAAAACAACTACAAGGAAAAGCGGAAAGCGGAAAGAAAGTGAAAAGAAATTTGTAATAAATTCAAGAAAGAAGACGCACGGCAAACCCCAAAAACCAAGTTGAGAGAAGGGAACAAGAATTTTAATTTCACTTCATGACAACACTTGGGGACTTGGGATCCTTTCAACGTCTTGCGGTGCCAAGAGTGGATCAGAGGGACGTGGCTGGCTGGGTGGAATGTCTCGTAATGAAATTTACATAATTTAGAAAGACATTTGAGCAACTTTCTTTTGCCGCTGTACGCGTATAAACAAGACATTTCCGCCACTTTAATTTTCAAAAGCTTACACTTGAGATTTTATTGGCCAATTCATTGTTGGAAGTGGCAAGAAGGGGCGAAAAGGGGAAAGCATAAGCCAAAAGTGCAGGAGGATAACTTGCAAAATGCGAAAAATAAAAAGGGAATCGCCAAGAAGGAATTGCAAAATGAAGAAAAAGATGTTAAAGTTAGCTGCCAAGAAGTCGAAATGCTCTTTGTAGATTAAAGTTTAACTTCATAAAAACAGTTTTAATATATTAACAGGAAAGTATGGAGTTAATTTTTAATAATTACCCAACTTATTAGTAGAAAATATCTCTCTATGTGATATAGTTTAACATATTTTAAAATTTCTCTTTACAAATTTCGCTGAAGCTTGTCAGTCAACCTTAAACCTTGATTTATATACCCCATTCGATAAGAAAAAGAAAGGAAAATCGCAAGCCAAACTAGGAAAACTTTTGCCACAGCTGCCTGCTCTATTCGCCTCTTACTTTTTATAGAGGGTGTCGCCTTGATTTTCAGCTTGGCAAGTTTAAAACTCAAACGCGTCGCATACGATTGAGCGGGTCACAATTTATTTGCATAAAGTCAGCGACAGACTGGGCAAATACATGGTAACCAGTATCCTGAATCCAGGATTCCCCAATGATGTTTTATGTTTGTCCAAGGAGAGGTCGAAGGGGAAAGGGAAATCGATGAGAGGAACCAGTGCAGCTGGTGCGGCTTATGCCAAAGTGGCCAAGTTATTGAATAGTTACGACAAGTCATAATATAAAGTAATCCCCAGCTGACTTTTCCCCTTCTTTTCCACATCTCTCTCTTAGCGACCTGCTGAAGAAGCTGTCAGTTAAGGCTGGCCTTATTGGCTGCTTCCGTGGCCTGGTGGTCAATGGCGAGATTCTCGACATCTACAGCTACATGTCGGTGCATCTGTCGGAGATTATCAAGGACTGCAAGCCATCCTGCGTGCCATCGCCCTGTCGCAACGGTGCCCAGTGCAAGGAGCTCTGGAGCAGCTTCAAGTGCGTCTGCAACAATCCCTGGGCACATATTGGCGAATTCTGCGAGACAAGTGAGTAAAGTATATATGCTATATAGGTGGATGGTTAACGAACATATACAGTGTACTTATTAAACTGACTAATAATTAATTTTTACATTTCCCTGGCAGATATTAACGAAAAAGCCTTAACCTTCATCAACCGCGAGTCCTTCCTGATGAGAAACTATCTGAGTGTGGGTGCCACGCCTGCTATCCTTATGCACGGAATAGATGGCGAACGTGATATCCTGAAGGGTATCCTCAATCAAGATCTTCTGATCAATCTACGAACCTACGATACGAATGCCCTGGTGCTATATGCCAACGATCACTACAACAACTTTGTGCACCTCTACATTAGCACTAGTAGGGAAATAGTTTTCCTTTACAATTATGGAGATGAAATTGTGAATCTCACTCTGCTGGATGATACTTTGATGGCCTCCTTGAAGAGCATTCAAGTGGCCATCGTGCGAGGAGAACAGGAAACAAGGATGCATGTGAATCAGCGTAGTGTGAGCATCGATAGAGGAACTCTGCTGCTAGATGAGTATGCCAACAAGCCGTGGAGTAATCCGGAAAAAGGTAAGCTTTGGTGTAGTTTACCTTTTCACATTCCATCACATATTGGCCAACAGTCAGAACAAACTAGTTCGAATAATACTTTTCGTTTTTCATTTATTTTCGCTGGTCAAGCCACTTGAAATTCTGTTTTTACATTCTTTTTTAGATAAAATTAATTGTTCTGATAAAACTAATTCTAATCACTAAGAAAGATCCCAAGGTTCCCTTCCCCAAATCTACTTTCGTCACTTCCATCGGCTGCCCATCTTAGAGGTTTTATTATGGGCATTATTGCTGCTGTTCTGGTGTTGTTCATCCTGGGCGGCCAACTCCTCGTCGATGAGCAGCTCAAAGTTGCCCAAAGCATCGGCACTGGGAACTTTATTCCAACGGACATCAGGAACTCCGTCAGGGGGTAGAACCACAGATAGAATATTATCAATCAGCTTGTATTTCAGGATCCTATCGTTGACAGTGGTTGAAGTTAGCGAAGGTGAGGCATTGACCTCCACAAGCCAAGGTTTCAAGGCATTGTCTATGATGATATCATAGCCATAACATTCGAAACAATGCCTATCACTGGCCATTACAGGAGCCACAGCCCGTAGGGAGTGCACTATTAGCCAGGATATAGCTCCAAACAGACGATCTGTGACCTCTTTTCCCCTGGTTCCTTCTAGGTATAAAGCCAGATTTTGAACAGACCACTTGCCACCGTGGAGGGTGTTATACTCGCCACCATGTTTCTGCACACTCACATTGGTGAGATGAACGTACATATTATCCAATTCCGTAACACTAGTATCGTATTTGACAGTACAAAAACGGCAGAAACCCTGCTTAAATAGGTAAGCTTTCAAGGGTCGAAAGGAAGCCACGAGGACGTAAAGGCGTAGATCAAATTTTTTACCACCAATCAGCAGGGGATTGTCAATATATCTGGAAATCACATACGACTCCTTTGCTATTTGGGGGTGAAAAGGACCCTTGGCCTCCCTCGACCACTTCTTCAGTTTGGATAATTTGTTGATTAAAAAGATGCCCGCTCCTTGGGATTTTCCACAGGGTTTCATAATCCAAGTACTCAGTGGAAACTTGCGATATTCCTCAACGAACATATTATAATCTGCTGGTAGGACAAATGTTGTGGGCACAAAATCCAGATACAAATATCTAGTGCCACTGGAATTATTTGATTCCGTTTTCTCTGCTAGAGGATTGCCATCCCTTTCGAGGTCTTTGCGATAGCGTTTGATGTTCTTGACCAGCAAATCCTTGCGAGACAGTTCATAGTGATTGGGAAAATGATTGATCATCTGGTTGTCATGCATCCTATAACCACTATCCACACTGAATATATTCCGGCAGGTTTGCACACCGGCCCAGTAGAAATGCCAATCATCATCGCCATTCACCTGATGCCAGCCGCGTTTCTCGAAATTGTTGACCAAAACCGATTTATCCAGATCCGTGCAAAAACCAATTTTCAGTTTATCATGTCCCTGGGCACCTCCGCCACCACTATTTCCTCCACTATTCGAGGTGCCATTCGCAACCGATTGATTGACACCGCCAGCTTGGCGACCGTACATGCTGGTAGTTATACCGCTCGTAGTTGTTGTACCGCTCGAGCGGACCGTTGGCTGAAGACTGTCAATCCGCCACGCCTGCGTCCATTGGCTCACGTCCCAAACAACGGCCATGTTGCCAACGTTTCTTTTTTCTTTCCAACTTTATTGAACCAACAAGGCCGAAATTTATTCACAACCCTTTTTGTGATTATATGGGGAGGAGGATAGGCGTTGCCAGGCGGCGTTTCCTTTTGTTTTTCCTATATCTAACTGTATATTTTTTTCTTTCTATTTAAGTAAGAGAGGCGAAAAACATTGCACCAAAATTTTCAAATAGTTTAGCAAGTTAAGCTGCAAAAATGCCAAAAATTTCCCCCTCACAAAATCTGTGCACTGTGCGATGGCCAAATTATGTGCACTTGAATTTTTCCTCTTGAACTTTTTGTTCCGTCTATTTTTTAACAGCGAACAGTATGTGTGTGTGTGTGTTTGAGAGTGGCCGTTAAACTCGGGTAGAAAACTGTTGGAAAATAAACGCCATGCGAATGGATAAAGTTTGGCTCTATGGCATAAAAACAACGAGTTGCTTTGTAGTTTGTTGATATTTGAAAACGTTCAAAGTTTTTATTTCGCTTTGCTCCACTCAATATGTAAATTGAACGGCATTTCAATGGTAGATAGTATGCGGAAATTGTTGTTAAACGAGGGAAATGCATATAGAGTTGATTATGATCTGAACGGATTTTTTATAAGCTGTCTGTCTGCATATGAAAATATTTCAGCAAATACAAATTTTAAGCGAAACGATTGGATTATTGCTACGACAGCTTTATGTTTTTATTTTCTGATAAAAAAATAAGTACAAATATGTAGGAAAACATTAAAAAAATGCTATTATTAATGCCCATTTTTTAAAGATCTTTGAATAAAATCTCAAAACATGAACTAAAAGTTTGCTGAATTTCAAATCTAAATCGCATTTAACATATCAGCCAACATTTCAAAAGCCTCTCCACTCAACTGGCCTTCAATTACTCCCGTTGTATATGCATTTTGGTCATAATATTTCCCTGGTACTGCACTTCAAAGAGCCGCTCGCAACTCACCTTGCAATTGAATTTAATGGAAAAGTTCACTACATGGAGCTCAACTTGGCAATTGGCAATTGGGTAAAAGGGTAAAATCAATCAAATTGTCCGTAATTCAATGCCAGCGATTTGCCAGCAAAATCAATCATAATTACTCCACATTGCCCCGGAATATGGGTGAAACCAGAGCGTTGCAAAATGCAATTTTGGGGCAAATGTGAATGCGATTTTCGTTGAATACTTTGCACAGAATAACACATAAGCACTTTTGTAATTAAATGCGTTAAGCAGCTGCAATGCACTGAACCCTAGATTGTGGCAACCGGCCATCGGATCAGTCTATTCAGTTTAGTTTGGGCCGCGTTCTGCTGGCCGGCAAACATTTCAATTAGACAAACTTAAACTCAAAATTGATGGGCCTAAACCTCAAACGGCCCTGTATGGGGCCGTGTCCGTGTCCGGGTTTGGGTTCGATTCCGGGTCTGCGTCCGGCAGACCGGCTAAAACCCAAATGCCACGGCAATGAAGGGTCATTTCCGCACACATACACAGGCACACCGATATGCGCTTACATAAAGCAAGCAGAACCAAACTTTACACAGAAATAAATTGGGTAAACACCTCAAAAATCATGACCAAATCATCAACTCATATCATTTATTTGCTTGTTTAAAGATGCCTCCCGTTTCTTTCTGTGTATTGCCAAACCAAAACCATCCATACTCCGCCCTAACCTGCCGCTCTCTCATTTGATTTTGTTTATTTGCAGAGGTTTTGTCGCCGCACCGACCGCCTGCCCCGCCCACCGAGTACTTCCAGTTCCACGTGGGCGGCTATGATCCGGCGAATTTGCTGCGGCCCAACGTGGATGCACCGGCACTCGAAGGTTATATCGGCTGTGTGCGGGGCCTGAAAATTGGAACGCAGTTGATCGACTTGGCGGATATCAATGAAAGGAATATAGCGCCCAGTAAGTAGGCAGTATAAATCAATTTTCACTGAGTGCAATTTTCGGTTGGCCCTAATGCCATTTCGTTAGTGTTTGGCTTCTCCAAATCCTGATACTTCTGCACCAGCTCCAGCTACGGCTGAAGCTCCTGCTCTTGCTCCTCGGATTCTAATTCATAGGCCAGTGAATCGAGTCGACTGTGCGTCGTCTGTGGTTGTGGTTGCATCTGTGGTTGCTGCCTGGCTAACTTAATATGCATGCAATTTCCGTTAAGTGCTGGGGACTCCAGCGAAAATGGAGAGTGAGATGGCCAACAGGCCACTTTGGGTCTGTGCCAAGATTAATGCCAATGCGATAAGCTACTGGCCCACATGGCGTATGATTTATGCGGCCACGTATCGCGGAAATTGCAACCTGACTTTGATGCGATTAAAGGCAACCGCAGTCAATGTAAACACTTTGAGTTAGAAAGGCATTTATATCGTTTCGTTATTGGAAGGGTTGCGCCTTCTTGAGGAGGTATTAAGCTTGAAGGATCTTATGTTTATAGAGCCAAAAAGTTATCTTACAGCTTTCTCTAGTTTTATCTCACTAAATTCTTAAGCCAAATTCCTCTCACTTCCAGTCCAGGAAGGTGTCCTGCCCAACTGCCAGATCAAATGCGATGCAGAGCCATGCAAAAATGGTGGAACCTGCCAGGAGCACTTTGCAGAGCAAGTCTCGACCTGCGATTGCGAGCACACCAGTTTCCTGGGTGAATTCTGTTCTGAGGAAAAGGGCGCCGATTTCAGTGGTGAATCAACGTTGCAGCGCAAATTTGAGCTGCTGCCCGGAACAGGTCGCGTTGACTATGTGCGCCTGCAATTGGCCTTCTCGTCCTTCGACCTGAGGCGGGCCAATCGGATAATGCTGCTGATGCAGACGGAGGCCGAGCGTAGCTACTACCTCTTGTTGGCCATCACCTCCGATGGCTACCTGCAGTTGGAGGAGGATCGAGATAATGGACAGACGGTAGGCGCCCGGATCGATCGGAATTTCCTGAACAGTGCCAGGCACTCGGTGTATTATGTAAGGAACGGGACCCAATCACAACTCTTCATTGATCGCGAGCAGGTGCCGCTCACGGAGTTCGCTGCACGTGTCCTAACCACCGGCGGTGATGCTGGCTCGAATCGCGTCCAGATCGGTGGCATCAACAGCACAGACTCGCGGTTTGCCGTCTTCAAGAGCTACAGCGGTTGCCTGTCGAGTGAGTGTCGTAAATTGCATCCACGTCCGCCATTAATTTCTTTTCGGTCTCATCAAGTGACATCCCCCTGCACTCCCTTCACTAAGAAAAAATCGAAATAAAGTACACTTAGGGAAATTCAGTATTATGAAAGGATATTTGGCAGGAAAATCACTTTAAATGGATTTTGGGTTCCACTATCTCTCAAAAAATGTACATTCTTTAACGATTTAATAATATTTATAATGTAATTTAAGATAAACAAGTAAGAATCTCAGTGCTTCCTCTGCTTAACTGCTGCCACTTTATGAACTCACTGAGCTGAGCTCTCAAAATTCCAGCGTAGAGGGGAGATAGTGCTGGGAAGGGCTAGAGCCAAACTGCTTCACATTGTTGACCAAAAAATTAAATTTATTCGCTGCCATAAAAAGTCATTTCCGTGGCCGTGGCGTCGTTGCCATAAATTCTGTCAGTTTTTGCTCTCAAGATTTACAGTGGCTCATATTTAAATTGCTGCTTTGCTGCCACTCCAAAAACCGCAGCACAGTGTCCAACACTTTGATTAAAAATTCACCCAAACTCCCCAACTCCCCGTTACTCAACCGCCCATAAAACAGCTGTTCAACCACCCAGCCATGCCCATACCACATGTGGGCGGGCGTGGCCATATAACTTCCTTGATCATGCCATTAAAGAGTCATCGAAGTGAAGAGCGATAGTTTTGGTCGTAAACAGGGAATATTATGCTTGTACGTACAGTGGGGTGAAGTGGGTGAAAAGTAGATAAATTTGTAGAATATTTTTATAGTTTAATTTTATTAAATATTTTTACTACATAAATATACAAATATTTAATTTTAAAATTCCGCTTTCGAATATTTCAAATCAATAACTAACTCGCAACCTTAATTAGCCTCCAGAAATTCCATTAATTTGCCAATTTAGCTTGCCACTCCCCCCACACACACACACACACAATCAAAGAGCCTCGGCGCTAAGGGAGTTTTTCCAATAGGCATTAAAAATGTTATTGCTAATTTCGGGACGGGCATAAAACACGCACGAACGACTTGCCACGGGTCCTTGGAATGGAACGGAAAAGTCAGTCGAGCTAAAACCACCGGGGCCAAGAAGGCAAACGCAATTCCAATTTCCACTCACCATCATCATCCTCCACATACATTTGCATTTCAATTTGAATTAATGACCAATACTAATGAAAATTTCGACATAACCCCCCCTTCGCGCACACTCTCCACCTCCACAAAACCACCGCAAATTGGGTAAACCAACCGGCCATCGGCAGACATCTATATACAGGTGAACGGGCATGTTATGAAGCCACTCGAGGAGTACATGCTATTCACAAAGTCCGGCGCCGACAACATAACGGTCATCAATCCGCAGGGTGTGCGGAGCGCCCAGTGCAACGCCAAATTCGATGTGAGCGAGCAGCCCACCCAGGAGCCCATGGTTAACGTCAGCATGGTGGGTAGAAAACTGAAAGAAAATTTTGTTAAAAGATGTAATTTATGGGGAGTTCTTAAAGTTATATAAAAATCGTATCTAGAAAAATCTTAGATCTGAAAATTTAAGACTTTGTGGAACAATAAGCTAATATAAAACATTATTTCTCTCAGTGCAATGAGAAGTTTGCCTGATAGTGGTCCTGGGAATCGGATTATCCGAGGCAACCAGGCGACAAATTGTGCTAATGAATACCCTCTACCTGTGTCTACCGCAGATACCCGAGCCATGGGTGGAGGAGCCACCAGCCCGCGTCCCCTACATTCCAAGATTCGTATACGACGAGAACAAGCAGGAGGACTCCACGCAGGTCGTCTTCCTCACGCTGACCAGTGTCTTCGTCATTATCGTGATCTGTTGCCTGCTGGAGGTCTATCGCAGCCACTTGGCCTACAAGAAGCGCATCGAACGCGAGACGGACGAGGACATCATTTGGTCCAAGGAGCAGGCAACCAAGATGCACGAGTCGCCAGGTGTTAAAGCAGGCCTCCTGGGCGGTGTGACGGCTGGATCGGGCAATGGCCTGCCACCATATACCTACAAGGCGGTGAGTAATGGCTTTAGCAGACAATAATAGGACATTAACATGCTTAAAATACACTAAAAAAAAGTGTATGATATTCAGTTTTAATTTAATGTAATATTTAAAAATATGAGCATATCTTCCCTTAAATAAAAATGAATTTTTTACATAATAATTATTTATTTTTTACATTTACCGCAGCTACCACAAGAGGACAAAAGGCCG